ACAATATCCCTAGTACTACGACCCCTTCTTAACCCAGCCTGGACTTCTGGCAGTTCTCTGCTGATGTGCTTGTTCCAGTCGTTTTTGGATAAAGTTCAGTAGCGTCTTGCTTGCATATGAAATTAATGATGTTGTTCTGTAGTTTCCACACTCTGTTGGGTCACCCTACTTTGAGATGGGAACAAATACGGATCTCTTCAGTCAGTTGGCCAAGTGGTTGTTCTCCAGATTTCTTGGCATAACTTGGTAAGCACGTCCAGGGCGGCATCTGTTAGCTGAAATACCTCTGTTGGGATACCATCTAGGAAGAATCCATAATTAACACTATTAATTTATAGAATTTTAAAAAGTAGCTTTTTTTTTCTTGTTGAGACTATAAGAGCAATACTCTAGAATTCTCTGAACATATTCTAGCTCAACAAACAGATCTGTCTTGGAGAGGGTGCAGCCGGTGTGCTCCTTAAGAGGCAAGAATGATGAGGCATCACTTCACACTTTGGGTATATTGCTAGGAAGGGACTATTCCTTGGAGCGGGACATGATGCTGGTAAGCATGGAGGGTCAGCAAGTAAGATTCGCAACCAGGTCTATTGACAAGATGACTGCTGCAGTGGGCTCTTGTGTGTCAGGAAGTATGAGGATGGTGCAAGATAGATCTTTTGTTCAGAGGGTCACTGTGAGTCATAATCAACTCCAAGGGACCTAACAACAGCAACACTAGCTCAACAATCACTCTCCTTTTCTCAGTTGTTCCTCTTCTGGTAACACAGATTCACCACCCTCTAATGTTCCTGTCTAATCTTTCAAGTTGCTGTTGTCAGTTTGATCCCATATAGATAGTTCTTTAAAAAGCATTGTGATGATGGCAAGTAAAAACTTCTATTTTTAGGAAGACCTTGGAATATTTCTGGCTTAAGGCTTAAAGATTAAATCAAGGCAGTTGTTTGAGGACAACTGTGTATTTTAACATATGCTGTGTTTGAATCTTACCTCTATTGAATAATATTTTTTGTGTGCCATAATACTTGAGTATTAGATTTGAAAATTATTTCTTATTTTCTAACAAATTGTAGAGACTAGTTTATTTTTTCAGATCTTTCAATAGGTAAGTGTTTAAGCATAGCCTTAAAATGCACATTACATTTAGCTTTTTTGCAATTATCTCCTTTTCCAGAATATATAAATAATCGTATAATTCACGTTCATGGTTATTGAGGAAAGTAAATGATATTTGAAATATCTGTATAGAATTTATAAATTGTTATTTAAACTATGATTGTGTAGGTGAAAACCTTTAAAACAAAATGAGCATGAGCGAGTTTTGGTGGCCTAGTGGCAAGAAGCTGCACTGCAATCCCAGAGGCACGTGGTTCAAAACCACCAGATACTCTATTGAAGAAGGAGGGACAATCTCCTCCTGTACCAGTCAAATTCAATTTGACGGTATATACCCAAATACACACACAAAATAATAATAAAACTAAAAAAAAAAAATGAGCATGAACTAAAGTATTTTGTTGTTACTTTTTCATTTATACCTGGTTAATTTTATTTTAGGACTGAAATGTAGCAGTTGTGAGCCTTTTCCAGACAGTGCTACAAACAACCTCTCCAGATCAAATTCAGATGAGAGTAATTTCTCTGAAAAACTGCGAGCATCCACTGTCACATACCACCCAGAAGGAGAATCCAGCACAGCTCCCTTTTTCTCTACTGATTCATCTCTGAATTTACCTGTTCTAGAAGTTGGCAGAACAGAAAATACTTTCTTTTCTTCAGCATCACTTCCTAGACCTGGGGACCCTGGGGCTCCTCCTTTGCCACCAGCACTGCAGTTAGAAGAAGGAACTTGTGGAAACTCTAGTGAAATGTTTCTTCCCCTGAGATCACGTGATCTTTCACGGCAATGACAGTTTTCCATTTTCCAGCCTTAATGTTTTGGGGGTTTTAATTAATAATTATTAAACTTCTTTTATTGGATATGAAACTTTTTGTAAAATCACTGTAATGAATTACTAACATTTGATACTTGCATTTTAAAACAAATGTACTTTAAAAATGTTAGCATGTTGTAGATAGATAAAGGATAACTATGTGTCATTCATGTTGATCATATACTTTTCAGGTATTTTCAGTGTTTTAATTATATGTTTAATTGTTTATGTTTTAAGACGTAATTGGCAGTTGTATTTGAGGGCGAATTCTTTGGAAACAGTGTTTCTCTTTTTCTCTTCTGGTGTTTATAGCATACCTGATTTGATCACCCCAAGATCTCAGTTTGTCAAAATTTATTTCATAACAGGCTCACAATTTTAGCCTCACAACTTTATTATAATTCTTAAAATTTTTTACTTCATCATTTTAATGCCTAAAAAAACTATGTAAGGAAAACCTCCCATTTTTAATGATATTTTTTCTATACTTTTAATACTTTAATGAGAGAACCACTATACAGTTGAAGTAACTGGAACAAATTGTGTGTGAGTGTATATTGGTGACAATTCTTTTTTAATGCTTTTTGGAATAAGCAAGCTGTTATAAAGGATTTGCGTTTCTGTTATGTAAAAAAAAAATTGACTAATGCAGTTAAAATCTTAAGCTAAATTTTTGTTTTAACTTTTAAATCGACCCATTTCCATATATCTTTTTTTGTATGTATGTCTATCAAGAAAGCAGAGATGGAAATATAACATTAAAAAATTTAATGTTTTTTAAAACGTAGTGATAAGTTTTTAAAATATCAAAATTTTCATTAGGAAATCAAATATCTAAACTATGTATACCAATTTTTATAGACAGTATTACTTCAGGTTTTGAGATTGAATTTCATTTCTGGATTGACTTATGAATTTATCAGTTATGAATGCAATTCACATATTAGCTTTAAGAAAACATTCTAAAGCCTGCATGGGTTTATGTAGGATAATCATCTAAGGATTATGGAAAAACCTCCACCTTAGCATAAGAAAATAATGGCATTACATTCTGTTGTGTTTTGTTAAGTGGCATTAAAATACTTCTCTTAAGAAAGCACAAGTAGGTTTTTTATTAATTAAAATAAAGTTCGCTGTGTGGCTTCCTTTTTAAAATTTTGGATAGGACTTAAAGAGTTTCATTTGGCCATATACTATAGCACCTATATTTATAGCTTATTTTTATATTAGTAAACTGTTTATTCATATTGTTGACTAACTAAACAGACAATAAAATTAAGGTTTTAATATGTTTATTAGGATTTGGGGGTTTTCAACCCTGTAGTGGATATATTTCTCCCCTTTACACCCTGAAAATTATCCCTTCCCAATAATGTATAAATTAGTATGACAAGTATAACTGACAAGATGTACTTGGTTTCTTTATTAAGTAGACTGAATAATGCAGCAATGAAAAGGTTCTTTTTCATAGACTAAAAACAAAACCAGCTCTTTTAGAACTTTTTCCAGAAGTGATTCATCTTTGCTCATCATTTCACTCCTGGTGCAAGATCAGACACTGGCAAATTTGGGACAGATCAAGGATAATGGCATTTACTTTTCTTTTTCTTCCCTAATCTTTCTTTTTTGGGTTTCAGATTTTTATATACACATACATATGTATTTTTGCAAATATATGCAGATGTCTTTTGTTGTTATGTGCCATAAAGTTTGAAATAATTCATTACTGGACCTCCAGTGGGTTTCCAGAGGCTGTAAATGGCACAGAAAAAATGCCCCATCTTTCTCCTATGGAGTAGCTGGTGGATTTGAACTGAATGCTTTTGAGTTGACAGCACAACTCCTTACTGAACTACTAGAGCTCTATATATACATATACATGTACATATACATATACGTATACATATATATATATTTAGACATTAATTCGTAATTTTAGGTTAGACCAATTTATCAGTCTTTCATAGTTGTTAGGTGCTGCATTGATTTGACCTACTCTAACACCTGTACGTACAGCAGATTGAACGCTTGCCCCGTCCCGTGCTGTCCTTACAATCTCTCTGAAGTTTAAACCCATCGTTACAGTCACTGTGTCATTCCATCTCATTGAGAGTCTTCCCCTCCTCCTTACTATCTATAACTCTACTGAGAACCCTACCTGCACTTCTTGCAAGACAGATTTGTTCTTTTTGGTAGTCCACTATATATTCAGTACTTCTTGCTTGCCATTACCACAATTCACATGCATTGATCTTCAGTCTTCCTTATTCATTGTCCACCTTTCATAAGTACATGAAGCAATTAAAAATGCCATCACTTGGATCAGGTGCATAACTGATAGCCTTGCTCTTTAGTGCTTAGACAACAAAGTTGTACAAAGAAGTCCTTGGCACCTGATACAGCTTGATTTTTTGATCCCTGTTTCTGTGGGTGTTGATTGTTAATCCAAGTAAAATTAAATCCTCGACAACTTCAATCTTTATCATGTAGATGCATATTGGTTCAGTTGTGGATTTTTGTTTTATTTATGTTGGGATATTAATCTTGCTGACAATTTATTCAAAGGTCCTGGAACATGGACAGGAAACTGCCAGTAATTCAGACTGGGTTCAGAAGAGGCTTTGGCATGAGGGATATCACTGCTAATGTCAGATATAACTTGACTGAAATCAAAGAGTACCATAAAGATATTTACTTCTGTTTTCTTGATTATGTAATGACTTTTGTATAGTTCTAGCAAAATCATGGTAACTTCTGAAAAGAGTACGAATCTCACAATGCTTATTGTGCTTATGCGAAACCTATATACATAGATCACAAAGCTGTTACCTGAACAAAGCAAGGGAGTGCTGCATAGTTTAAAATCAGGAAAGGTGTGTGTCAGAGCTGTATCCTTTATATGTATTCAGTCTGTATGCTGAGCAAATCATGACTAGAGGAAGACTGATCAACAACTCATGTTATGCAAATGACAATTTTGTTATGTGGAATGTGAAAGAACTTGAATTATTTAAAGCAGAAGATCGAAGACTGCAGCCTTTGATATGGATTGCATCTCAAATGTCAAGGACTGAAACAATAGACAACATCATGATGGAGAAAAGATTGAAGTTGTCAACAATTTCATTTTGCTTAAATCCACAATCAACACCCTTGGTAGCAGCAGTCAAGAAAACACGTTGCACTAAGGAAATCTACTTTAAGGATCTCTAAAGTACTAAGATCACGGCTGTCAGTTTAGAGACTAGAGGATGCCTGATGCAAGCTGTAATATTTTCAGTGCTTCCTATACATCTGAAAGTTTGACAATTTATAGGGAAGACTGAAGAACTGACACCATTAAGTTGTGATACTGAGGAAGAATACTGAATATCCTATCAGTTGCCAGAAGAATCATCAAGTCTGGGAGGAAATGCAACCAGAGTGTTCTTTAGAGACAAGGATGATGAAACTGTCTCACATACTTTAGGCATCTTGTTAGGAGGTGCCAGGCCTTGGAAAAAAGTATTCTGGGGAAGGTGGAGTTTCAGAGAAAGAGGAAGACCTTCATCAAGATGTACTGACTGACTGACAGTGGGCTCAAGCATGGGGCAGATTCTAAGAAGATGGGGAAAGATGGTTCAGCGAGTCACTGTGAGTCATAGTGAACTTGAGGGTACCTAACAACTGTCTCTAACGTGGGGTGGGGGGGAGGTGAAGCTGGGGTTTGAGACCCCCCCCGGTACTGAAATCACAAGCTTAAGGTAACAACATGTTAAGTTCAAGTGCTAACTTGAAGGTTGGCAGTTCACAAGTCATCTTGGGAGAAAGATCACTCTGATGATGTGCTCCCATAAAGACTGTTGTTGTTAGGTGCTATTGAGTCAAGTACAACTCATAGCGACCCTATGAATAACTGACCTGAGCCCTGTCTTACGCTATGGTATTGTCATCACCTCTGACATACTTGAACCCCTTGTGGCAGTCCGTGGGATATTCAGTACTCCAACACCACAACACAAAGACATCAATTCTCCTATCATCCTTATTGACTGTCAATGTCTCAGATGTGTAGCAAGTGATTGGAAAGACCATGACCTGAATCAGACACACTTTAGTCTTAAGACTGACTTCATTGCTCTTCAGTGTTTTGAAAAGAGCCCTGACAGCAGACTTGCCCAATGTATTCATCTCCTGACTGCTGGTACCAAGGGTGTTGATTATTGATCCAAGCAGAATGAAATAATTGACAACTTCAGTCTTTAACTATCAACATGTTACCTGTTGGGCCAGTGGTGAGGCTTTTTGTTTTCTTTATGTTGAAATGTAATCCATATTGAAGGCTGTGGTCTTTGATCTTGTGCAGCAAGCATTTCAAGTCCTCTTCACTTTCAGGAAGCAAGGTTGTGTCATCTGCATAATGTAAGCTGTGAATAAGTCTTCTGATTGTAATACCGAATTCCTTTTCCTACAGTCCAACTTCATGGAATTATTTGTTCAGTACACAGATTGAATAGGTTTAGAGAATACCTGGCACATACCTTTCCTGATTTTAAACCATGCAGTGTTCCCATGCTCCATTCAGACAACAGCATAGATTATGTATGAGCATGATTAAGTATTCTGGTATTCCCAGTCTTCCCAATATTAGCCATAATTATGGTCCACATAGACTTTTCATGGTCAATAAAGCACAGACATTGTTCTGGTATTCTCTGCTTTTAGCCAGATCCATCTAACAGCATAATGTTATCCCTGGTGCCATAACCTCTTACAAACTTCACTTGAATTTCTGGCGGTTCCCTGTTAGTGTACTGTTCTAGCCATTGTTGGATGATCATCAATATTTTACTTCTATGTTGCTTTCATAATCTGTTAAGATTAGTTGCAGACTAACTATAAGAAGGGGGAAGTATATAGCATCCCAAATGTTTGATCTGGTCACTCCATGATTTCCAACATCAGTTGTCCCTCGTTTATTTCATTCCCCCACTCCTCTATGTCCCTTGGGTTTGATGGTTCTCTGGAAGGTCTCACAGACTTAAACCCATCAGGAAAATGACTCCTGTAACTGTGGGTGGTGCAAGCTGGTCTTGCAGAGATTGGTGAGCAATAAGCCACTGTCCCAGAAAAGAGGGTGTCCCAAAAAGAGCTTCCATGAGTTTATATACACTTGTAGTAGGGCTTGTATCCCACCGTAATCCTATCTTCTTAATACAATAAATGTTGTTTTTGTTGTTTGGTGCTGTCGAGTATGACTCATAGCAACCCTGTTGAACAAAATATCTGAACCTGCTCTATCCTGTGTCATCCTCACATTTCCTAACACACAAGAGCCCATTGCACCAGTCACCATGTCAATCCACCTAGTTGAGGGTCCTCCACCCTTCCTAGCATCATGTCCCTCTCTAAGGAATAGCACCTTCTAGCAATAGGCCCAAAGTATGTGAAGTTAAGCCTCATCATTTTTGCCTCCAAACATCACTCTGGCTGCACCCTCCTCTCCAACAGCACATAGCTGTTTGTTCTTTTCGCTGTCATTGGGATGTTGAGTGCTCTTCAACACCACAGCTCAAAGGCATCAATTTTTTTCCTGTCATCCATTTATCAATGCCTTGGAAAGACATTTTGAACAATAAACCTTTGACACTATAATAAATGGATCACCTTTCTTGGGAATAGGAACAAATATTAATTTCTTGCAGTCAGTAAGCCCAGTAGCTGTCCTCCAAATTTCCTGGAATCGACTGGTGAGCCCAACCAGGGTTGCATCTGTTAGTTGAAACATGTCATTTGATAGCCTATCAATTCCTGGAGCCTACGCCTTCACCACAGCTTGAACCTCTTCCATTATTACCATTGGCTCTTGTTCATATGGTACTTACTGGAATTTTTCAGTGACAACTAATTCTTTTTGGTACAGTGAATGTGTATGTATTCCTTCCATCTTCTCTTGATGTTTTCCTTGATCATTCAAGATCTGGTCCATAGCAACTCTCACATTGCAAGTTGAGGCTTGAGTTTTTCAGTTCTTTCAGCCTGAGAAGTGCTGATCAAGATCTTCTCTTTTTATTCTCTTACTCTAGCTTTTTGCACATTTCAGTATATTTTGCTTTGTCTTCTCAAGCTTCCCTCTGACACATCTTTCCCTTGTTTTTGGCTTCTCAAAGCTCTAATGCAATTTTTTATGTCTTCTAACATCCATTTTGGTTTATCTTTCTCTTCTGTCTTTGTAATAACCTTTTGTCCTCTTCCTGTAATAACCTCTTTGTCCTCTACAACTCCTCTGGTCTTCAGTCATTGGTGTTCAGTCCCTTAAACCTATTTTTGAGAGGAAGAATGAGGTTGCTTTCATAGTTAAAAACAACTTCAAGATCTATCCTTAAGTGTAAAGTTGTGCAAAATAGGGTACCATTCATACACATACAAGACAGACCTATTAATACAACTGTTACACAAAGATACCCACAACTGGACCTGAAGAAGAGGAAATTGAGGATTTCTAACAATATTTGCTATTGGTTTGATCAATCTGAAGTTGATCAAACATGCAATCAAGATGCATTGATAATGATTGATGACTAAAAATCAAAAGTTGGAAATAATGAAGAAGGAATGGTAATCAGTGCAGATCTGGTAGCAGAAATGAGGATGGAGATAGAATGATTGAATTTTGTGTGTTCAATGATTTATTTATGGCAAATATCTTTTTAAAAAAAAAACACAAAATATGACTACACATAATGGCGTGTACAGGAATCAAGTTGACTATCTGCAGAAAGAATCGGTGGAGAAGGTCAATATCAGCAGTCAAAAGTAGGCCAGGAGTTGTCTGTGAAACAGATCATCAATTACTCACATGCAAGTTGAAAATTGAAAGTGCGGAGCTCCAGTGATGCAATCGGTTAGCACAATCCGTTAAAATAAGCCCCAAAGAACCAAAATATGACCTTGAGTCTGTCCACTCATAAAGATTACAGGCTAGAAAACCCTTCAGAACAATTCTATTCTGCCACATGTAGCCACTATGAGTCAGAATGGATTGGACAGCACCTAATAACAACTTTATAATACCTTCGACAATATACAAAAGAGCAATGATGACAGCTTGGCCTGAATTAGGCCACGGTCTTTTCAATAACTTGCTACATATCTGAGAGCTGAACAATAAATGACAGAAGAAGTCATGCCTTTGGGCTCTGGTGTTGCAAATGAGTGCTGTGTATCCCATGGATTGCCAAAAGAACAAATAAGTCTTAGGAAGAGTGCAGCCTGAACACTCTTTTGAGGCAAAGATGATCAAGCTCCGTCTCTCATTCATTTGGCATGTTGCTATATTCCTTGAAGAGGGCCATCAAGTTTGGAAAGATGGTCAGCGAAAGAGAAGACCTCCCCCACAAGGAGATGAACAGACAAAAGAGGCTGCAGCAATGGGCTTGAATGGGTCTGAATTAATGAGGGATGACACAATATTGTTCAGGTTTCAAGTCTGTTTTTTATAGGGGTTTTACTTGACATCATCTGTCAACAATAGCAACATCAACTAAAAATATAAATACAATGTAGTGTATTGAGGAATACCAGCATTTAAGGACCTCACACAGTAAAGCAAGAAGCTCTCTGGTGGCATAGTCATAGCCAGTTGAGCTGCTAACCCAAAGGCCTCACATCTCAAATCCACCAGTCGTTCCGCGAAAGAAGATGGGCACGAGATTCACAGCCTTCAAAAACCTGCTGGAGAGTCAGCCTCAAGTCAGCTCAGATTCAGCGGCAATTTAAAAAAAAGATAGCAAAGAAGGCACTTCTAACAGTGAACATTTCAAGAGGCTGGGAACTCCGAGGGTACACTGGACGCCCTCCAACTGGAACTTACCAGAGAGGGGCTATTCAAAATACATCCGAATGAGGTTAAGCAGAGGAGATCTTGATTCCTGACGATGGAGTCAATAATTCCTGACGGTCTTTCGTAAAGAGGAGGGTGAAACTAAAGGCTAGGATTTTGAAGCTCTGTCTACATACTTTGGGCATGTGGCCAGGAGGGGCCAATCCTTGGAGAATATCTTGCTTGGAAAATTGGGGTGGGGGGGGGAACACAAGGAAGGATTGAAAGACCATGCATGGATGAAGTGTATTGACATAGTGACTGGGGTAATTGTGTGTCCGAGACAAGTGAGATTGGCTCAGAATAGGACAGGGTTCAGAGCTATTGTGCATATGGTCGCTATGAGTTGCAGGTGACTCAATGGCACATAACAACTCACACTGATGATAATGTTTATTTGGAAGAATCCTGGCCCCTCGGGGCAGGAGCTAAAAGTAGCGGCGAAAGACACACTTATGCCTTTTATGAATACATATTGCATTCCGAAAGTCATAATACGCCTCTTCTCAAGATTCTTCAGGTCCCAGCTCAAAATTAGCTTCTGCTTGGGAAATGTGCTAATTTCCAGCCTCAACTCTCCAAACGGGGCGCAGGAGAGCGGCAGAGCCACCAGGGGGCGAAAACCACAAGCCAATACGGAAGGAGTGGGGCGGGTCCAATCGTGGGGGGCGGGCCTTGGACAACTTCCGGCTTCCGGTAGCCCTGTTGGTCTCCGGGAGCCGCCGTCATGGCAGCCGACGAGAAGGATCCCTTGAGCTATTTCGCTGCTTACGGGAGCAGCAGCTCAGGCTCCTCTGCTGAGGAAGACAACAGTGAGCCGGAGGAGACGAACTGCAGAATGCCGGATCCAGCGAAGCCTACAGGCGGCTGTGGAAACAAGGTGGAGAAACGGCTGCCGGGACCCGATGAGCTGTTCAGGAGCGTGACTCGCCCGGCCTTTCTCTACAATCCTCTCAACAAGCAGATAGATTGGGAGAGGCACGTCGTCAAGGCGCCTGAGGAGGTGAGGTCCCTGACCCCGTTTCTCGGTTTCGGCCCTCGCCTCCGTCCCCTTCCTCCTCAATCCCCTTCCTGGGTACAGGGTCCCCCACACGCACCCACCCCCTGCGGGATGCGGCACAAACCCCTCTCACCTCCAGCCCCGGGGATCCCGGGCCCCCTCCCCCAGCCTGGTGGGTGTCAGCCCGGACCCGCGGCCCCTGCCCCTTTGGAGGAGGCCCATCCCTCCGCCCCCGGTGCCCCGACCCCGCGCGGCGAGGACTAACGGTGGTGACTCCCCCGCCCCCCGCTGCAGCTTCTCCCCGAGACCCCTTCCCTTTGATGCCGAAGTACCTGCGGTGCTGCCTCCAAGACAGTGTCTGCTGCAGCCTCCTGAAGGGGTCAGCCTTGGCGTAGTATCTCTGAGACTGGATTCTTCTTTGGTAACTAAATGTTATTAGCTTTCTTCATATAGGGAACCCTTTGGTTTTTCACTTAACAGTATTGTGATTTGATGAAAAAAAAAATTTGTCTTAAAACCTTAAAAATCTGAACAAATAAGCAAACGGTAGAGAGGTGCATGTATGTGCTCCTAGTGACCTGTCCCAGGAACCTCGGCTCGTCACACCGCTTCTTAATGTGCTTGCTTAACAGCCTCCAAAAGAATTCAAAGTATGGAAGTCAAATTATGTCCCACCTCCGGAGACCTACACTACTGAGAAGAAACCACCTCCGCCAGAGCTGGATATGGCGATAAAATGGTCAAACATATATGAGGACAATGGTGATGATGCCCCCCAGAATGCTAAGAAAGCCAGGCTTCTGCCAGAGGGGGAGGAGACAGTGGAATCAGGTAAGGAGGATCCGACTCCAGTGGTAATTTAAGCTTTTGGTGCCTCTGGAGAGTTTAAAAATAATGAGATCGTGAGCAAATATTGCTTAAGTCTAGTGAATTAGCAAAGTAATCATGATTATGATCTTTGGATACTTTGGGGCTGGGCTTTTGAGAGATACTGTACATATTCTGACTTGATAATCTCTCTCTCGCCCTTTAGTTATATGTGCTATGTTTTAGGGAAAGATTACAAATTGCTAAAGCTTTAAAGTGAAATAACTTGCTTTATTATTAGAACAGTGTGAATTAATTCATGGTTTCTCTCATGTGATTGTAGCTGTGAAATACTAACAGTCCCCTTTTGTATTAAAAGCAATTGTGCTTTGGAATTAAAACTAGTATGATTAAATATGTTTTAATTGAGTGGCGCTACATGGTATTAGAATGATAATAACTTAGCTGGCTTGCTTTAGTTCATAATATAATTTCTTTCCCTACTTGAACCATCACATACTCTTATCCTCAATTTCAAGTATATCGCCAAAGCCAGGGTTCATTTTGTAGAAATATGGTAAGTAATTCACTGTTAAAACCCTTCATCAACAGGACATTATCAAGGCCTTCTATGATAGGATCTGCTTCTGCACTCTGATTTCGCATGACCCCTTTTTAGCACATTAAGATCTTGAAGTTCAGAACTCAGTAGGTCATGCTAGTTTATGGTTTCCTGACTTTCAGTGTATATTGCCGTTTGGAATGCTCCTCTCTTCCTCTTTGCTTGGTAAACTGATAAACTCATTCATCCTTCACACACCAACACAAAGAGGAAAAACAAATCTTCGTTGTTGTTGTTATATACGACTACCACTGAGTTGGGACTGACCTATACAGGTTTTCAGAAACAGTTAATTACACAGGAAGAGATTGCTTGTGTTTCTCCCTTGGAGCAGCTGGTAGATTCAGACTGCATGATTTGGGGTTGGGAGTGCAACTCCTTACCACTAACCACCAGAGCTCCCTAAAGACATTATCTCCAAGTAATTATTTGCTTTGCTGTGATTTGTTTATGGTTATGCTATCAGTTGTACTTAACATTCTTATTATGATTTGTCCCTAAGCCGCCTTGTCTCCTTTATGAAAATTAGTTTCTCAAACAGCAGGGCCCAGATTTTGTTTGGTTTTTATCAGAGTTATTAGCATTTTGTGAGTTTTCAGTTGACATTTGTTGAACTAAATCTTTGGGAGTATTTAAGAAAAGTTTATCTTGTAAACTTTCATTCTAAAAAGAAAATGAAATTTTCTTAAAGAGTAGTCATTGTTCTGTAGCTGTTTTTTCAATTAATACAAGGACTCCTTTGACAACCACGTGGAGAAAGAATGGGAGTTAACTGTCAGAAATTCTTCCTGTAGTTTTTATTTACCTTGATTACATGTTATGGATTAAAAACAAACAATCAAACAAAAAAAAAACCCAGTTACCTTTGTGGTGATTTCTGTCCAGTTCAGGGTGATTATAAGACAGAGTAGAAGTGCTCTAGAGGGTTTCCAGGGCTAGAAATCGGCACTATCTTTCTCCCAAAGTATTTGGTGGATTCAAACCAATGCACCACGAAGACTCTTTGGGTGTTAGAGGTCACTAATAAAGGCACAGAGCCTTAGGAGTATGGTATATAACGTGTCCGGGTGCTAGAAAGATCAGCAGTTCTAATCTACCACTTAGCTGTTCTTCAGGAAAAAGATGAGCACTGCCCTTCTGTAAAGATACTATTAGAGATCTGATGTAGGATAGTTGTCAGAATTGACTATTGCAGTGGGTGTGGTGGTATGTGAGGGTTTTGTTTTGTTTTGTTTTTTTAATGAAGGCACAGCTTCAGTAAACGGCACTGTTTTGAAGATCTTAGAATAGACATAATTCTTGATATATAATTTATATCATTAATAAAACACTTTTACATAGGTAATCTTGAGTTAGCAGTGCAGCATGTTACAGACCACACTACCAGAATCCTTACTTAGCCTTTAATCCTTACAATTTCTTGTGAAACCAGATGGGGAAATGTGGAAATGAGAGCATATGTGACTGGCCCAAGTCTTCAAAACTAAAAAATCTAAACCCTAAGTCTTTCATACATGTTTTCTAATCTTAGCAACCTGGGCCAGAAATGGGACATTGTTCATTATTGCTATTTTACTGATTTACAGTTTGAAGAATTTGCCCTAACTAATTTATACAGCTAGAAATAAGTTGAAAGGGGATGCAAATTTGGGTTTTTAAATGGAAAGTATATTGTATTAAACTTGGATTTGATCTCTTGATGTTTTCCAAGTTACAGTGCTTTAGAAATATCTTCTACCAGAAGAATGATAGCAAAAACTGTAGAGTTGATATTTAATCTGGAGTGCAGTAAGCTTGTGTTCTTCTCTTTGTATGGAAAAATGCCAGAATTGCATATATCATGGCAAGCAAGAAGGTGATATTTAAACCCGTAGTGCCATAGGCTGTATTCTGACTTCTTTGCAAAATACCAAAGCAAGCAAACAAGAGTAGGATTATCCCTTGGAGCTTTTCTTTTGAGTTCATACAGAGGGACTTCCATAGTAAGGCAGATATCACTATTTTCATGGATAATTTCTCTCGCTTTATTCCATGGTAAAAAGTGAATGCAGGTACTATCAGAAGACAAGGACTACTCAAAGCTTAGTCTGTTCAAACTTGTACCTAAAATTCAAAATAACTCCAAAATCTCCTATTTTTACTTTAATGCTGATTATTTAATATAACTTTATCCTTTTTGTAATAATTTGCTTTAGAAGTAATCTTTACCATTTCTGACTTTTGTATCGTGTTCAAAATGACTATAAAATTAATTTCACTGACATAATTTTTACCTTTTAAATTCACAAAATAATCATCTACTAGAAGCTCTGCATGTTTTAACTTCTTAAATTGTTTAAATTATCTAGTTTTCAGATTACTAACTTACATCATTTGCTTTGCCATTTATCAGCACTTGCTTTAGTGATTGTGAGATGTAGGTCAGTACAGCTTAGATAACTTATTGAAAATTTATTAAGTGTAACTAAACTATAAAAGCCTAGCTGATGTAGGTAATATTACAGTTCAGTTTCAGAATTGGGAACAAAGTTCATATCCATTCAGTCATGGTCAATGAAGGGAAACTGGGAAAGGGAAAATATTTTTTAAATTTGAGTTAGTAGGAGTGGTGTAAGTGGAAGTTAAAACCCTAATAAAACTCAAGAGAAGGTATAGTGAGCTCACTGACCCTATGCAAAACAGAGAGCAATGCATTCAAAGTAACGCTGTCAACTGCAGTCTCTTGAGCCAGGAGATTTGGTTGCTGTGCAGCATGTTTGCTGCACAAAGAGATTAAATTTCTGTCAGAGCTTTGATTTCTAATTTTTCCATTTCCAATTAGCGCTCTGTTGTTGTGTGTCGTCAAGTTGGGACTGATTAATAGTTGACCCTCCAGTGGGTTTTTAGAAGCAGTAAATCTCAACAGCGGAGATTTCCTATTTTTTTCCCTCAGAACCTCTGGTGAATTTCAACAGCCTACCTACCTTTGGGATTGCAATGTAGCTTCTTGCCACTAAGCCACCAGAGCTGCTAGTTAACCAAACTTTTTAAAATTAGGGTCTGTTCCAGTGTTACTATCTTACCTGATTATAACTGGGTAAACTGGTTCAGAACTCTGCTCAGTTCTATCAATAAACCAAGCCTGCTTTCCTCAAATAGTGTGAATTCCATAAGTTGTTTCCATACCGATTAATTGCTGATACATGGTTCGTAATAGAAGTAAATCATTGATGAGTTAACACTGAAGGGTGTTTTTTTTCCCCCTGCAGTTTTCTAAGGCAGTGGCTTAATTATTCACTAGGTGGCGATGTCTTCTACTCAAATCACAGAAAGTTTAGCTAACCTGAGTAGATTGTGTTTTTGTTGTTATTTAGTAAATTTACTTGCACCAAATAGTACATGACAAGTAGAAGTGAATCTTGGGGTCTTTATTGTAGAGTATACACCGGATTTTATAGTTAAGAGTTAGCAAGCACTTTGAATATTATTGTAACCACATCTGAAAATGATAATGACAAAAGATAAACAATAATTAAGCTTCAATTAAAAAACAAAGGCATGGGTTTTATTTTGAGTTGTATGTCATATTGGTTGGTTTAAAGTTAGTATTTTTGTGTTTTTATGACAGGCTTGTAAATTCCTGGGGTGAGTTGTTGATGTGAATTACATTTTATCTTACTGCCTAAATAAACCCTTATTGCTCTGTGGAATATGTGCATAATCAGGCTATATGTGAAGATGAATGGACATTTACTTGGCTACATCATAATTATTGTCAACAAATAAGATATTTTTAATATTGTACAATTGGTGCAAGGCAATTAACGGCTTGAAAAGTGATTTCAAATCCTTTCAAAGGGTTAGATATCAGTAGCTTCCAAATTTTTTAGTAAGGCCCCTTTCAACACAGATCATTTTGTAGAGTACTACATACTAGTTGAACTTCTGAGTACTTAGCAAGAAAATGAAATTAATTACAATGAATTCAGTAATGTACTTAAAATACATTTACATTTTACAGCTCACATCTCCATGTTATTTATACTGTCACTACAAAGTTTTTAAAAAGAATCACTAGTTGATACTAGTTGGAGCTAGTCTGCTGCACTGTGGTTTTTACTTAACTATGTAACTGGATTTTCTTAATCAGGTGAAAAGATTATGTGTTTTGTGTTTGACAGTATTTATGTTAATTGGAGATTTTCTTTGGCTGTAGACACAACTACTTAGATGTGAAAATAAATCATGGATTTTTTTTTAACATAAACTTCACACACATTTGGGTGTGCACATTCATACAAACATACACATACCCCACCTTCTCCACAATAACAAGAGGAAAGACGTTACCATTCTTTTGCCATTATAATATTCTGACACTCCTGGAAATGGGAAAGAAAGTTAAATACTCTTCCCACCTCTCAAACATAGAGTTGATTCCACCTCATAGTGATCTTGTATAGCAGAGTATAACTTCTTCACTTGGTTCCCAGGGCTAACTGCTACAACTTTCTCTGATTGGTGGAACAGTCAATTATTTAACACCTGAGCATCAGGGCTCCTAAACTAACAATACAGGACAAAATTGAAACTAGAAAATCACTAAAATGTATCCATGCATGATGTTCTTTCTCCAAATACAAAGTTTTGGGGGAGTGGGAAGTTTTGAGAAGCAAGAAAGCTTAATTGACAGGAGGGAAAAAAAGGTAACTGAAAGCCTTTTTAAATAGTGTTAACTTATAATATGTTTTTTGTAAAAAAATAATTTGTGCTATTATTTCAAAATATACATTGTGTTTAAAAATAAGCACAATATGTATTGTAGAATACTTGAGAACATCTTTTTAAAAGAAATCTAAATTTTTCATCTTAAGCTACTTTAAATCTAGCATTAAAAAGTCACTTTGTGAATTGGGGTTTGGAGTTTTTTAAACTATCTACAATTTTTCACATTCTTTATTTTCACTTGCACTTTTTTATTTGGAAACATTAAAACACTTTATTGATTTTTCTCTAAAGTTAAGGATAGTTTAGTGATTTTTAAAAATTACTAATTAAAACTCCTTTCTTATTTAAAGATGATGAAAAAGAAGAACATACATCAAAAAAACGCAAGATGGAATCAGGAGAAGCAGCAAAGAAGAAAAAGTAGAAGAAAACAAATGACAAGAAATTCTGGACTGTGAAGCTTATTAAAATGAGTCTTTGGACAGATTAAATTGATACTGTAAATTATGACATACTAGTTCCATGAAAGTATATGTGTTAATAAGTATTGTTCTAGAAACTTTCCATTAAAGAATTCTCTTTTTTTTAATTTAAAACTGTATATATTTAAAATTCAAATGCTGACTTGTGATTGTGAAAATAACACTTGTAAGCATTCTTGCTATCATAAACATGCTTTGAGAGTTTTGTCATATGTTGACATGTCAATGTTAAATGAACCTTTTATAAAGGAGTATATTTTTAAAGTAAATCTATTGTAATGTACTGTGAACTTGTAGGGTGCTTTTTAATAGTATTTGTACAGTGTAAATAAATCATGGAAATAAAAGTACTTATTCAATATTACTATTACTGCATGACATTAACGGTTGAATATTTGTGTAACTCTTTTCCAGGTGATGTTTTAGGTTGTAAAATTATTACCGTTTAAGGAGTGCCTCATATAGTCCAGGTGTTTGGTGTGTATGTTATCTCTGTTCTTTAACCTAGTAAAGTAAGTGTATTACCCTCTTTTTATAATTAAGAGATAAGTAACTTGTTCAGTGTTACACAGCTAATGAGTAGTGAATTTAGAATTTAACCTAGGATACTTGAACTCCTAAACCTCACATTAAACCAGCTATCCATCAATCAAAATGTATCCGTTTTAGGAGCAGCATCATTTGCTACTTATCCCAGGTACATTTCTGCCATAGTAGAGATCCTTTTCTTTCCCCTGATTGTATTGCTGAACTTAACACATAAGCCTTATACCATGATTATTCATTCATTTTTCTTTCAGATCATAAGAGTTACAGAAGATCTCATCTTCAGTAGCTTGCAAGACTAGCAAATAAAAATACAGGATGGTTAGTTAAATTTAATCTTAACTAATATTTTTGGCTGTGCTTCAGTCTCAAAGGCCCACGGTTCAAGGCTCTGGAGGAGAAAGATGGACAGTCTCCTCTTGTGCAGTTAACTACCTTTGAAAACCTGCTGCAGGATCAGCTATGGGTCAGTTCCAACTCTGTAGTACACAGCAATATAATATTTAGGACATAAACGTTTATTATCTGAAATTCAAATTGAACTGAGCATCTTGTATTTTATCTGGCAGCCTTTCTCCTACATTTTGTCTCTTCCTTTACTATTAAACATTTCTCTCCCTTTATTTCTACCTTTTCCCAGCTCCATTTTAGTTTACATGTTGTGGTACTCAACATAATGAAGAAGAAATATTAAGGAAAATGTTTCTTATAGTCCAAATATGTAAGTGAGTCGCAGCATTTTGAATGATAAAAAGAAGAGGTTACATACAAAATTAATCTTTCCATAATTCATATACTTTTGAGAGTCAAGAGTTAATTATAGAATACCATGCTTTTAAGGTATAAGAAAAATTAAGATAGTTTGTAAGATTAAAAAAATTAGTTGTTTTCCCATACTATAAATCTGAAAAATTAATATAAAACATTTATTTAGTCATTGGGGTGCAGTGAATTAATAGGGTTCTTCTAGCCATAGTCTTGTAACTCTTAGCAAATGGCTGAGTGAGACTGCAGATGAGGCGCTGGTAGCCCCCTAAGAATATTAGGTAGCCTACTGTCAGACGGTGTATAGAACCCTAAGGAGCGGGTTTGTGAGACCTGCCATCTAGGAAAGCTTAAAATGAACTATTGCAGAGGGAAAGGGGTGGATCTCCTGTTGACCACAAAAAGATCCTTTGGACTAGGATCCCTGCCTATGTTGAGAACCTCTCAACTCAGGGGACAGAGCTTTAATACTTGCTGATAAAACGAACAGCAGCAGAACCAAGAGAGATAGGCTTGCAAACTCACAAAAGAAAGCTGAGGGCTTTTCACCAGGAAACTTG